GCTGCTGCTGCTGCTGCTGCTGCTGCTGCTGCTGCTGCTGCTGCTGCTGCTGCTGCTGCTGCTGCTGCTGCTGCTGCTGCCGCTGCTGGCTTTTGTTCGGGCGTTGTTGGAGCTGTTGCTGAAATGGTGCTGCTGCTGCTTCTTCCGGTGTTGTTTTGCTGCCCATTTAAGCGCATCGGGGGGTAAGGGCTTCTGAGGGTTTAGGGTTTAGGGATTAGGGTTTAGGGTTTAGGGTTTGTGCGCAGATGGAGGTGCTGCGTCATGGCCGCGAAGTTGTGGAGAAGGAATTGCCTGCATTAGCAAAGAGCCTCAAAGACTTCGGTCAGCCTGCAATTGAGGGTTTAGGGTTTAGGGTTTAGGGTTTAGGATTTAGGGTTTGGGGTTTGGGGTTTAGGGTTTAGCGTTTAGGGATTAGGGTTTAGGGTTCAGGGTTTAGGACTTGGGGTTCGGGGGTTGGGGCTAGGGGTTGCTGGTGAGGATAAGAACTCAGGGCTTTCTGCCTCTTCCAGCACCTGCTGCTGCTGCTGCTGCGTGCGCTGCTGCTGCTGCTGCTGCTGCTGCTGCTGCTGCTGTTGCTGCTGCGCAGATTTCGACTGGCAGCAAAACAGCGACACTGCGTTTCGCCTGAAGAAAGAAGAGACCGACTTTGAGCTGCTTCTCAAGGCCCTTCCTGTTTACCTCGTAAGCACTTCAAAACCCTAAACCCTAAACCCTAAACCCTAAACCCTAGAGTCTGAGACCCCCTTCAGCTGGCAGTTGGTTCAGCGCTTGCCGTCTAGGGTTTTCTGTCAATTTTTGAGGGTTTAGGGTTTAGGGTTTAGAGCTGGCTGTTTAGCTTTTACCGTTTGTCGCCTGTCTTTCAGAGGCTGAGGGTTTAGGGTTTAGGGTTTAGGGTTTAGGGTTTAGGGTTTGGCGCTGCACACAGGCTCTAAACCCTCGAAAGGGCCCCTCCTTCCGGGGGCCCCCCGCCTACTTTGTGGTCCCTCAGGGGGGCCCCCCTGCAGCTGCTGCAGCAGACCAATCGCGCCCGTCTGCTGCAGCTGCTGCTGCACCTGCTGCAGCATCTGCTGCACCTGCTGCAGCATCTGCTGCACCTGCTGCAGCATCTGCTGCACCTGCTGCAGCTGCAGCATCTGCTGCACCTGCTGCAGCAGCTGCTGCACCTGCTGCAGCAGCAGCTGCTGCAGCAGCTGCAGCAGCGGGGGGGGCCCCCTGGTACCCCCCAGAGACTTGGGGCTTTCGACTTGGGGCTGCATGCAGTGCAGCAAGACAGAGGGGCCGTTTTCTTTATCTTTTTGGGGCTTTGGAAAGATTAGAAGTGGAAGGTTTGCTGCCGCTGCATGCAGTTGCTGCTCTCGAGAGACACAGGGCGGGCCTTGACGAGCTCAAGTTGCTGCTGCAGCAGCAGAAGCAGCAGCAGCAGCAGCAGCAGCAGCAGCAGCAGCAGCAGCGGCTCCTGCTGCAGCAGGGGGAGGCCGCCGCTGCGCTGCAGCCGGCGGAGGCTCAGCAGCTCCTCGATGACCAGAACCAGCAGCAACAGCAGCAGCAAGAACAACAGCTGCAGCAGCAGCAGCAGCAGCAGCAGCAGCAGCAGTTGCCGCCAGATTTACTGGGGCTGCAGCGAAGGCTAAGAGAAGAGGCGACGGGCGGTAGAAAGCGGCAGCAGCAGCAGCAGCAGCAGCAGCAACAAACGGAGCAGCAAGCGGAGCTGCAGCAGCAGGAAGAAGAGGAGCTGCAAGCAGCAGCTGCTGCCTTAGAAGAGGGGGCAGCACTGGAGGCTGCGAGGCAGCAGCAAGCCGCAAATCTATTTCCAGCAGCAGCAGCAGCAGCAGCAGCAGCGCAGCCAATAAATGCAGCAGCAGCAGCACCAGCAGCAGCAGCAAACAGCGACGCCCAAAGGGAGGCCCTCATGTCAGACTTCGATTTTGGGGCTGAAGAAGAAGCCCCAGCTTTTTTCGTAGGCTGCTGCTGTTGCTGCTGCTGCTGCTGCTGCTGCTGCTGCTGTTGCTGCTGCTGCTGCTGTTGCTGCTGCTGCTACTGAATTTTGTTCCTCCACAGTTCACTGAACTCTCCAGCTAAGCTAGGGTTTAGGGTTTAGGGTTTAGGGTTTATGTGTTCGCAGCTGCCCACCCCGCCACGGCCTGTGGAGCGGCGAGTAGGCTTGCGGCGCCAGCTGCTGCAGCAGCTGCAGCAGCAGCAGCAGCAGCAGCAGCAGCAGCAGTATCCTTTTCCCCTCTACTCTAGAAGATATACTGAAGGGGGCTATCACTATGCGTTTGATATTTGGTCATGGGACGATGTGCTGGAGGCGCTGCAGTACTTCAACGTAAACCCTAAACCCTAAACCCTAAACCCTAAACCCTAATTGCGGGAGCAGTGCGCATGCGTGTTGGGGAGCAGCAGCAGCTCCTTTTTGCCGTTCTCAGCCCTGCTGCTGCTGCTCCTGCTGCTGCTGCCATCTTGCTGCTACCCTCCTGCTGCTGCTGCCTCCTGCTGCTGCTGCCATCCTGCTGCTGCTGCTGCTGCTGCTGCTGCTGCTGGGGTGTACGTACACCGCAGGACTTGTACGCGCCTGTGGGAAAAGAGTTGGGAAGAGAAATTACTTTTAATGATATTCCCAAAGACTGGAAAATACCGGGTCAGATTTATTCTTTTATTCTTTTATTCTTTTATTCTTTTATTTCTTTTATTCTTTTATTTCTTTTATTTCTTTTATTCTTTTACTCTTTTATTGTTTTGTTTCTTTTATTTCTTTCATTCTTTTACTCCTTTATTCTTTTATTCTTTTATTTCTTGTTTCTTTATTTCTTTTTATATCTTTACACTTCTTTCTATTTCTTTATTTCATTTTTTTCATTTTTTTCCTTTGTCTCATTTTATCTTTTTTTTTTCTTTTTTTACCCATTCATTTTTGTCTATTTTGTTGAGGAGCTTCTGCCATTTAGTTTCATTAAATCTTTTTTTAATTTATTTTTATTTTTAATTATTTTTAAATTTAATTTTCGCTTCGTTTTGCTGCTTCGTGTGCGCGTGCTTGCTGCTGCCCGCAGCAGCAGCAGCAGCAGCAGCAGCAGCAGCAGCAGCAGCAGCAGCAGCAGCAGCAGCAGCAGCAGCAGAAGCCAGCAGCAGCAGCAGCAGCAGCAGCAGCAGCAGCAGCAGCAGCAGCAGCAGCAGCAGCAGCAGCAGCACAAGCAGCAAAAGCACTAAAGCAGTAAAGAACAAAAAGCAAATAGAACAAATAAAGCAAACAAAAGAAATAAAAAAATAAAATAAAAATAGAAAACGAATTTGCTGCTTCCCTTTCGGACACAGGCGAAAACATCACTGCGCTGCAAAGCCCCTGGCGCTCCGCCCCCCAGCAGCAGCAGCAGCAGCAGCAGCAGCAGCAGCAGCAGCAGCAGCAGCAGCAGCAGGGGGAGGCGCTGCTGTGGCCTGCGGAGTGGCGCGGCATGCCGCTCGGGGTGTACGTACACCAGCTGCGACAGGGAGATGTTGATGCTCGTTTTCATCCTCGAAGAAGACCCATTTTAGATCTTTTGGGATTTAAGTGGACAGACACTCAAAAGTACCTCAACTTCACCTGGATGAAACTCATCAAAGGCATGAAGTGGTCAGCAGCAGCAGCAGCAGCAGCAGCAGAGGAGCAGCAGCAGCAGCAGCAGTAGCAGCAGCAGCAGAGCAGCAGCGGCAGCAGCAGTAACAGTAGCGGCACTAGCAGCAGCAGAGCAGCAGTAGCTGCAGCAGCAGCAGCAGAGCAGCAGTAGCAGTAGCAGCAGCAGAGCAGCAGCAGCAGCAGCAGCAGCAGCAGCAGAAACAATGCAGAAGCAGAGCAGCTGCAACGGAGACGCGATGCAGCTGCGACAGCACAGTATCCATGTACGCTTTTGTGCGCTTCTGCTGCTGCTGCTTCTGCTGCTGCTGCTTCTGCTGCTGCTGCTGCTGCTGCTGCTGCTGCTGCTGCAGGTGGCTGTTTTTCAGGCAGCACCCCGTGCTGCAGCTGGAGAGACACACCATAATACCCCACAGCTGTTTGGTTGCAGATGTTTGCAAACCCGAAGAAGTCCAGGTCTTTTATTTAATTATTTATTTAACTAATTAGCCAATTAAATAACTAATTAAACAACTAATTAACAAACTAATTCAATTAATTAATTAACTAATTAATTAATTAATTAATTAATTAATTATTCACTTATTTATTTTTATTTATTTTTTTATTTTTTTATTTACAGGGACTTTGTATACGAGAAATAGTTCACCTAACTAACGAGCCAATTAAAAAACTAATTAAACCAGCAATTAAGCAGCTAATTTAACTAATTAACTAATTAACTAATCAACTAATCAATTAACTATTTATTTATTTATTCATTCATTTATTTATTTATTTATTTATTTATTTATTTATTTATTTACAGGGACTTCGTATAGGAGAAATAGTCAACTAACTAACTAAATATCTACCTAACTAACTAGCCAATTGAAAAACTAATTAAACCAGAAATTAAGCAGCTAATTTAACTAACTAACTAACTAATTAATTAATTAATTAATTAATTAATTAATTATTATTAATTTATTTATTTATTTATTTACAGGGACTTCGTATAGGAGAAATAGCTCACCTAACTAAATATCTACCTAACTAACTAGTCAATTAAAAAACTAATTAAACAAGCAATTAAGCAGCTAATTTAACTAACTAATTAACTAATTAATTAATTAATTAATTAATTAATTAATTGATTAATTAATTAATTAATTAATTACTATTTATTTATTTATTTACAGGGACTTCGTATAGGAGAAATAGTGCACCTAACTAACTAAATATCTTCCCAACTAACTAGCCAATTAAAAAACTAATTGAACATGCAATTAAGCAGCTAATTTAACTAATTAATTAACTAATTAATTAACTAATTAACTAATTAATTAATTAATTATTTATTTATTATTTATTTATTTTTTTATTTATTTATTTATTTACAGGGACTTCGTCTAGGAGAAATAATGCACCTAACTAAATATCTACCTAACTAATTAGCCAATTAAAAAACTAATTGAACAAGCAATTAAGCAGCTAATTTAACTAATTAATTAGCTAATTAATTAACCAATTAACTAACTAATTAATTAATTAATTAATTAATTAATTAATGATTATCTATTTATTTATTTATTTATTTACAGGGACTTCGTCTAGGAGAAATAGTGCACCTAACTAAATATCTACCTAACTAATTAGCCAATTAAAAAACTAATTAAACTAGCAATTAAGCAGCTAATTTAACTATCTAATTGATTAACTAATTAATTAATTAATTAATTAATTAATTAATTAATTAATTAATTAATTAATTAATTAATTAATTATTATTTATTTATTTATTTATTTATTTACAGGGACTTCGTCTAGGAGAAATAGTGCACCAGGCGCGGCTGCAGGAGCCGGTGCTGTACCACTTTTACCCGGAGCGGTACGAGGTGTACAGACACCTGGACTTGGCGCTGCTGCCGGCGGACAAATTAATTTCTTTTTTAAACTTTTCAGAAAAAAAGAATTTCCAACTGCAGCAGCACCTCCAGCCCAGAGGCCTTGCGCTCGAAGAAATTCCCAAAGCCATCAGAGAAGAATACTGAGCTAGCTAGCCACAGCTAGCTGCAGCTAGCTAGCTAGCCACAGCGAGCTGGCTAGCCAAAGCTAGCTGGCTAGCTGCAGCGAGCTGGCTAGCCACGGCGAGCTGGCTAGCCAAAGCTAGCTGGCTAGCTGCAGCGAGCTGGCTAGCCACAGCGAGCTGGCAAGCTGCAGCTACCTGTACCTAGCTGGCCAGCCACAGCTAGCTGCAGGTAGCTGCAGCGAGCTGGCTAGCTGCGGCCAGCTTGCTAGCTGCAGCCAGCTGGCTAGCTGCAGCTAGCTCCGGCTACGTCCAGCTAGCCACAGCTAGCTGGGGCAATCCCGCAGCATGCAGCTAGCCACTGCCAACCAAGATGGCTGCGGCTGGTCATGGCTACCTACAGCCAGCTGCAGCTAGCTGCAGCTAGCTGCAGCTAGCTGCAGCTAGCTACGGGGTGTGTGGAGTTCCGCCCTGCCGCAGCTAGCTGCAAAAAACTAGGCCCACGTGACTAGCTGGGGCCAGCTAGCTGCAACTAGCTGTTGCAGCTAGTTGCAGCTAGCTGTTGCAGCTAGTTGCAGCTAGCTGTTGCAGCTAGTTGCAGCTAGCTGTTGCAGCTAGCTGGACTGTAGACTCTCGCCGGCTAGCCACAGCTGCACTGTTCAGCTAGCTAGGGCGGCTGCTGCGAGTGGCTGCAGCTAGCTAGCTGCAGCTAGCTGCAGCCACTCGCAGCAGCTAGCTGCAGCTAGCTGCAGCTTTCTAGCTGCTGCTGGCTTCAACTGTTTGACATTAAATTTAATTTGTCTCGGATTTATTATCTGTTTAGTTTAAATTACTTTTATTAAAAGGCGCGGCGTCTTTGGGAGCCTGTGCTTGAGGTGTACGTACACCTGGTTTGCCTGCAGCCAGCGCTGCTGCTGCTGCTGCTGCAGCAGCTGCTGCTGCTGCTGCTGCAGCAGCAGGAGGTTTTTTCTTTTGGAAAGCAGCAAATTAAGACAAAAGCATTTTATTTAATTATAAAAAAGTAGAAGCAAACAGAAGAGAAGCCTCGGGTGGGCCTCACGCTGCAGCAGCTGGGGAAGACACGGAGCAGCAGCAGCAACAGCAGCAGCAGAAAGGCAGCAGCAGTAGCAGCAGCGGCAGCAAGGTAGCAGCAGCAGCAGCAGCAAAGGCAGCAGCATAATTAGAAATAACTTAATTAGCTATATCACTTCAACAAGCAGCAGATCTGCTTCGATCGGCAGCAGCAGCCGCAGCCGACTCATGATGGTTCAAGCCTGCTGCCATTGCTGCTGCTGCTGCTGCTGCTGCTGCTGCTGCTGGGGCCCCCTGCAGCAGCAAAATGCCTCTAATTAAAGCTTTTAAAAGCCTCAAGCAGCAAATTTAAATTAAAATAATTATCTTTTGTAGTTTCAACTCCAGGGCTCTGCGGTGTCTTGGCAGCCCCTGTCGGCTGCACCTCTGGGGGCCCCCAAGCCAGCAGCAGCAGCAGCAGCAACTGCTGCTGCTGCTGCTGCTGCTGCTGCTGTGTCTTCAGCAGATTATCAGCCTCTACGGCTCTTAACGCGCAGCGTAGGGACAACAAAGCCCCTGGAGAGCGGCAGCAACTGCTGCTGCTGCAGAGCCGAACCCTGCTGCTGCTGGCTGCTGCAGCAGCCGCAGCAGCAGCAGCAGCAGCAGCAGCCAGATTGCAGTGTTGCGGCTCTCTCGAAGTCAACCAGGGGAGTAGTATGAACCTACACTCACGGGGAGGCCTCCTGCTGCAGCAATTAACACCTCTGCAGCAGCAGCAGCAGCAGCAGCAGTTGAGGCATATGGAGCAGCAAGAACAGCCGCCACTGCAGCAGCATCTGCTGCTGCAGCAGCAGCAAAGCCCCGAGACTTCAGCAGCTGCAAACGAGGCCTTCATGTTTGTGGTGTACATACACTGCATCAAGGGCGTCAAAGGGGAAGCAGCAGCAGCAAACGGAGCAGCAGCAGCAGCAGCAGCAGCAGCAGCAGGCCCTCGTGTTGCAGTCGAATGGACAGCGCAATCTGGTGAGGCCGCCCTACAAATGCAGCAGCAGCAGCAGCAGCAGCAGCAGCAGCAGCAGCAGCAGCAGCAGCAGCTCTGGCCCCCCAGATTCACAGCAGCGCCGAACACAGCACCCCTTTGTCCAGGGTGATATTTTGTGCTGCTGCTGCTGCTGCTGCTGCTGCTGCTGCTGCTGCTGCTGCTGCAGCGTCTGGGTGGAGCTACAACCGTTCTCCGGCCTACCCCATCTCTTCAAGTATTCCTTTTCGTTTCTTTTCCTTCCTTGTTGTTCCTGCTGCTGCTGCTGCTGCTGCTGCTGCGCCAGCAGCAGCAGCAGCAGCAGCAGTGCCTGCTCCTTGCACCCTTACGCTGCGCCTGGTTGAGGTAGGCTCGGCACCTGCTGCTGCTGCTGCTGCTGCTGCTGCTGCAGTATCGGCGGCGGTGTCTGCTGCAGTGCTTCTAATATAGCAGCAAAGCGTGCGGCGTTCCCAACTCGCGCTGCACACGCCCCTGCTGCTGCTGCTGCTGCTGCTGCTGCTGCTGCTCTTGCTGCTGCTGCTGCTGCTGCAGGAGGGGACAAATGTGCCCCTAATGCTGGGATCGACAGACTTGCGCACGTTTGGGCTGTCTGAGAGGTTTAGGAGACAAAAGGGTATGCTGCTGCTGCTGCTGCTGCTGCTGCTGCTGTGCTGCTGCTGCTGGGGGTTAGGCCGACGGCCACAGTTGCTGCTGCTGCTGCACGGGCTGCTGCTGCTGCTGCTGCTGCTGCTGTGATTCAGTGTACTTGGAAAGGACAGATGTCTCACCGAGCAGCTGCCTAAGCGGCAGCAGCAGCAGCAGCAGCAAACTGCAGCAGCAGCGCGTTGCATATGTTTTCGTCGCCTCGCAGCGCCGCTGGCAGCAGCAGCAGCTGAGCAGCAGCAGCAGCAGCAGCAGCAGCAGCAGGCCACGGCAGCAGCAGTTGCACTTCACTGAGCCCCACAGCGACTTTCAGGCTTCGTATCTACTCCAGGTGAGCCAGTCTGCTGCCGCAGCAACAGCAGCAGCAACAGCAGCAGCAACAGCAGCAGCAACAGCAGCAGCAATAGCAGCAGCAACAGCAGCAGCAGGTAATTGGGCTTTTTTTGCCTTTGTCGCTGTTGCAGGCCCTGTGTGCTCTTATCGCTGAAAGGAAGCAAACTGCTGCTGCTGCTGCATCTGTTGATGCTGCTGCAGCTGCTGCTGCTGTTGCTGCTGCTGATCCAGCAGCAGCTGCAGCAGCAAGTGTACATAAAGACGCTTCTGAGTCCCAATTAGCAGCAGGAAGCAGGTCAGCAGCACAATCAAAGCAGCAGCAGCAGCAGCAGCAGCAGCAGCAGCAGCAGGACGAGGAGGAAGATTGTGGCCACTTGCAGCAGCAGCAACAGCAGCAGCAACAGCAGCAGCAACAGCAGCAGCCGCGAGCGCAAGAAAGGGATATAACGAAGCCTCAGTTGCTGCTGCTGCACCAAGAAACACTGGAGCCCTACAACGAAGCAGCAGCAGCAGCAGCAGCAGCAGAGGTGCAGCAGCAGCAGCAGCAGCACTTCAGGGAAGACCCACAGAACAGCGCATGCGCTGTGAGCCATGGGGTGTCTCTTGTCGCTTCTGAATTTGGCTTCCTGCAGCAGCAGCAGCAGCAGAAGCAGCAGCAGCAGACGCAGATGCAGCAGGTGCAGCAGCAGCAGGTGCAGCAGCAGCAGCTGCAGCAGCAGCAGCTGCTGCCGCTGCACTGCCCCGTTGCTCCAGAAGAAATGCTGCTTCAGCGTCGTGCTGCAGCAGCAAGAAACGCCATACTCAGGGCCTGCAGCGGGTCGCTCGCCGCCCCACAGCGTCATCAGCAGCAGCAGCAGCAGCAGCAGCAGCAGCAGCAGCAGCAGCAGCAGCAGCAGCAGCAGCAGCAGCAGCGCAGCCGCGCAAGAAGAAGCTTGTCTTCGCCTTTTAACTTTACTCCCTTTCCCCGCAGCACTCGGCTGCTGGACGAAAGTGTGCTGCATTCTCCCTACAGCTGCTGCAGCAGCAGCAGCAGCGGCAACAGCAGCAGCAGCAGCAGTGCTGCAGCAACAGCCGACCCTTGGCGGTCCCTGACTGTTTCCCCTGTTGCAGCAGCAGCAGCAGCAGCAGCAGCTGAAAGTTCTTCTCCTGATAGCGACGCTCTGACTCAAGAGCGGCTTTACGAGACTCCCATGAAAAAGGAGCAGCAGCAGCAGCAGCAGCAGCAGCAGCAGCAGCAGCAGCAGCAACTGACTTCGTCCTCTGTTGCGTTGCTTGT